CAAGCGGGACTGGCCTAGGGGATTTTATAGGGGTTTTAATTACTTTTAAATTTGACATTCTCAAATATTTCATTTTAATTAAATTTTAACTAGGTGTAATATGTTAGCTTTTTATCATTTGTCAGCCGCCCTGAGTCCGAAAGGAGAAGGGCGGGATATAAATACAATTAATAAATAAATAAATAAATAAAATAAATTTCATATCGCATGGAATCCTTGTTATGCCATAGATCACCAATTAAGGGCCCCAAACTAACTAATCTGTTATGTGGAAAGGAGAAATGATAATATTTTTCTTTCTTCATTCCTGACTTCCAATATTTATTTCACAGCCACTCTTTAAGCTATTGTGATATAAACAAAATTAAATAAGAAATGTAGCATGACAAAAAATTAAATATTTCAAATTTGCCCAGAGAAATGCTGAGTAATGGGTTAAGAGCTCAAACAATCACAAACTATTAAATATGTGTCTGGATAAGAATTTTTCAAAGCAAACATAGATACAAACACGGTTTTCAGCAGTAATTCTGTCCATAATTCTTTTGGTGTGCTCTATTTTCGTTGACATCAGATCTGAAACAAATGCAGTGGACCCAGCTTAATCCATCCCCCCACCCCACCCCCAAAGTTAAATCATGCTTTGCTTTATTCTCATTACTCTCATCTTGTGTGCTTACTAGAAATATAGACTTTCTACAAGGGCTGCAAAATAAAATGGTTCAGCCATAAAAAATGTTGATAACTGAGTCACTGGAAGGCAGGTTAACAATGCTTAACTCCGAATGCCAATTGCAGCATCTGATCCCATTTGACTACGGCTACAGTCTTTCATATTTATTCACCGAAGATGTTCACTTGCAGTTAATGTTGTGCAAACCAAGTGAATGTTTTATGCTTCTCGCTCCCATTTGTTTCACTCACATAGCAGCATAGGGTTTCTTCTGAATTTTAGACAAGGATGGAATAGATAGCATTATGAAGGCTATGGCTTTAGGTTTATCTTTATTAAAAGCTCCTCTGCAGTTTCTCCTGGTGTTTGAAAAATATCCAAGGTTTGATTTTTATCCAATTTCTTTTTTCTTTTTTTGACCTATCACATTTCAACATCAATATGTGTGGGTGAGTATGTAGGCATGTGTATAATTCTCATGACAAATGAACAAAGTTTTTCAAGTGAACACACTATTTTTGCTAACAGATTTTAATAAAGTTACTTTGGTGTACAGAGTTTCCAAAATCCTACATTTAGGTGATTTTTGTTGTTGTTTAAAGTTGTGAATTTGGTTGCAAATATTGAGAACAATAGTTTGGCTGACATAAAGCAGGAAAAGACAACATGAAGGTCCATTGAAGAAGCTTCTTGAATGAGAAGTGAAATGTCTTCAAGAAAAAACAAAGTCCAGTTGAAAAAGCAACTTTGGAAGACCTGGATGACTGGGAATCTCCATAGACCTGAAGGTCCACAGCTATTGAGCTCCTCCAAAGTTGGCAACAGTTGGTAATTTTTAATGCAAGTGAAATGTTAATGCAACTGAGATAGCACTCTGGAGCTCCCCATGAAGTTTTGCTTCAACCAGCATTGTGCACCATATCGAACCATTTTGCAAATTATAGCAGTAGTATAAGTAACTTCTGAATTTTGTAAATGGTGGTCTGTTGTAACAAATGGACATAAAATACATTTTGTTAGTATCAGCTGTCCCTTCTTTTTTTTTTTTATTGACCTCTGTTAGAAGCCTATGAAACATTTATTGGCTTTGTACTGAAGGCCATCAAATCTATTGATCTAGTCTCTGAAAAGCCATTAGTTTATCTTCTAATTTTGGTTCATGACCAGTTAGTTAGCATTAGCCCGACTCACATGTATCTGTTTTCAAGAGGAAAGTCTGCCAGTTTAAGAGCTATTGACCCACAACATTTGTCTTATGATGAATGAAAGCAAATATATGTGCCCCGGGATAATGTTGCAGGATCCAATTTGGGTAGTTTTCCGAGCTTTTGGATTTGTGTTGGAACCCATCCTCAGAGAACTTCTCTCTCACCAGAATGTAATCTCTTCACTGGCCTTCCCTTACCTCTATGATGAGCACCACTACTAAACCTGGGCTAAACTCGAATTCCTCCAAACATGGGGAATGCTGCTGTCAGAAATGCCCTTAAAGTTCTC